GTCACCATATAGCCTTCTCTCTTCTCGCAGTGCATATATATGTGTATATAACTTTTTCAGTAGTATAAGAGCCAGTTATATCAGAAACCACTATCTTCACTTTTAGGCTTTTAAAGTTATGGTGATTGCTGTAATACAGAATCTTTAGACATCTAAATTGTACCAAGGGTTTCTCAGGGTAGATATTAGAATATTTTTAGTGGAAAGTTTCTAACTCTTTGTTTTAGTTACCTAGTTGAGAGTAATTGATGGTGTTTAGAAGTTATTGTCAACTTTATCTTTGATTTAGGGATAAGATCCACATATAGTTAAAGTACTTTTCCTCCAGGATTAAGGTCTTATGAAACTATTATTCGTTAAAAAGCTAGCTATGTCTTTGATTCTCTTTTTATTGAGGATGTTTGCTTTTTGGCAAATTAAACATACTCATAGCAGTTTTCTGTATGTGCTTTTCATCATGTTGTAAATACTACATGCAGAGGATTTATTTTTAATCCAGGAAAGCAGTTTTCAAGGAGGAGAGAGAATGTATTATGATAAAGGAAAACAATAAATCAAATGATTAAATTTTAGTTGTAAAAGAATATGCTGCTGCTCTGAAGTAGTTTTACCATGTTAGGGCAAATCGGGAACGCTCTGAGGAAAGCCAGAAAATATTTGACTGATGGTTACATTGAGCAGATCTTTAAAAATTCATTTTCTTAAGTAAGAATGGGGAAGAGTTCCTACAGAGATGATAAAAATAACAGTACAAGGGTGTCCCTCTGGCTAAACCCTTTTAAACGCAAGAAGAGAAAGTCATAAGCATAACACGGGTAAAATGTGCTCAGAAAAAATTTACTAAACTTCAGTGCTTGTTCTCAACCCAAACTCTAAGAATAGATATGGAGAACTTCCTGTGTGATATAACAAGAAGGGCTTATTTATAACCATCTTAGGATTTTTCCTGTGAGAATCGGTTAACCCTTCTAATTATCAGTCTTTAAATTAACTAACTTATTAATGGCAGAACTCTCACAGCTGTGGAGCTATTACAACTGCACGCTGCTCCTAAGTAGTTGAGCTCAATTCTTGCCAGATTCTTCCCTCTCATTAACTTCTCTAGCCCAGTCCCCAAAGTTTGAACCCCAAACTCTTTACAGAAAACACAGCCTCTTAGGTTCTTAAAATTAGACTAACTGGTCTGCTCTGATGTTTCGTAAACTACTAGAGTTTGTAGTATATGGATTTTTTAAGTTAGAATTCTTTAAATTTTGTATTTTAATTTCACTGTTGAGTTCATAAAATTATTTTACCAATTAGAAAACAAAATGCCTCTTTTGCAGTGCAAATTCACAGTTGAAAAATGCTTCCATGAGAACGTAAGACTTGTTTCTGAAGTTTCTCAAGCTGGCATCTGAAGACCCCTGAGAATTCATACATTTCTGGGGTTCCACAGTAATTTTTATTTCAACTAGTCTGCACATTACAGTCGGCCCTCCGTATCCACGGGTTCCACATTGGTGGATTCAGCCAACACCCAGATTAAAAATAGTCAAGAAAAACAAATTCCAGGATGTTCCAAAAAGCAAAACTTGAATTTGCCAAATATAGGACAACTATTTATTTACACACCATTTACATTGTATTAGGTATTATAAGTAATCTAGAGATGATTGAAAGTATACAGGAGGATGTGTGTAGGTTCTGTGCAAATGCTATGCCACATTATATAAGGGACTTGAGTGTCCTCTGATTTTGGTATGTGTAGGATTCCTGGAACCAATCCCCCACAGATACTGAGGGACAACCATACTCAAGTGTGAGAAATCCTGAGCCATTAGCTAGTCCCTCAAAAGTCTATGTCATCTTTTTTCTTTTATAAACTGTGGTCATGGGTCTGGTGATTTAACATCCTTCCCACACCACTGTCCTGTACCCCAGCCTAGTAGAAAAGTCACTTAGATACAATCTGAGAATTGCAACCGGCTCTTCTGATTGATACAACAGAGGCAGTACACAGCAGTGGAAGAACTAGAAGTACTTTGAAGTCAGCTGGGCCTCCTGGAATTCCAGCGCTCCTAGTTAGGAGAACTTGGTCATGTTAATAAGCTGATAAGTTAATAATACATCAGATTGGGGCAATAATGCCACCCTTGAAGGATTGTTGGTGAGGAATAGAAATAATCAATATACAGTGCCTAACAGGAGTATCTCACACAGGGAGGCAGCCAGTGAAAGGTAGATCTTACTGTTATGATTATAAACAAATATTTATGGACTAAGTTGTTATATCCTGATATAATAATGTGGATTATAACTTTTAAGACATACATATAATTTATATATAGTTTTGCCTATTTAGAAGTATGGCACATGGAGCAAGTAACTCCCAAACATGGTACAGATTTAAAGCATAAGTTGTGTCAATACAATCTTAGATGAATTAATGATGCTACACCTGTGACATAAAGAAAAGGTCAGCACTTTGGGGCATCCACGCATGACCTTTGAGAACAGCATTTTAGAAGCTTTCAGCTACGAGCCCCCAGCTACTGAGGCCTCGACCTCTGGTCAAATAAGCTTAGTAAATGGATGGGTCCACATAAGAAAGAGCCATTTTTCATGCTTTTGTGTTTTTTGAATCTGATACTGAGGCTGTTACTTCTGCTGTCTGTTACCCTGTATTTGAAAATCCTTTGGACATAAGGTCAGAAGACTAATATTTTTCTGCTTAACTAATACTCTTGTATTTGGTCTGGCTTCCTAGAAGCAGAGATTGGGGTAAGGATTTTCGGGAAAGTGATGTATTGAGGAGACTCTGAAGAGGAGGAGTGAGGGAAGCAGGCCAAGGCAGGGCAAAAGCTAAGCAAGGGTGTTGTTGCGCTTGGAGACGCAGCTTCAGCCTGGTCCCACGGGGGTCCCAGGGTAAGGTCTGAAGGGGAGCGCTGGGGCACAAACGGCCCCACAGGGTTTGTCCTCCCTTGAGGCAAGGGGCGGCTGTTGTACCATTGTCAGTCGGTCTGGCTCCTGGCCACCTCCTAGGAACAGTTGGTGCCCTCACCTTGTAGTAGAGGCGGCTCCACATCTATGAGCTCAGAACAGCTGGGGAATGGGGGGGCAGGACAGTGTGGCAGCAGCAACGGCCTCTGTTGGTTTCCTCCAGGAGACAAAACTATCAGATTCCTTATGTGGCCTTCTCCGACTTGGTTGTGTGGGAAGTTTTAAACCGCGTTTCATACTTAATTGCTTCAGCAACCTTCAACCAGGGTTATTTAATAGCATTCTTTCTCTCTTCCTTTTCTTTGTCATTTTAACCTTTCTTCTTTATCTTTTGGTTTTTCTGTTTATTGGACCAGCAGCTTTATTGTAAGTTGACTCAAATGCTTGTTGAAAGTGGATGAGTGTAAAAGAAATAAATGTGTAAACTAAAAACCAGTTTTATAATTAGAAAAAAATACCTGAGTTGTCCTCCTTAAAAATCAGATGAAATAAGTGTTGAATAGAAATAAGAGTATTTACTGTTATAATCTAATTTAACATTAGTTATGCTTTCATATGTACTCAAGAATAAAATAAGCAATAAGTATTATAAATCCAAGGAAGGAAGAAACAAAACTGCATTTTTGCAGATGACACGTTTTTTATATGTATGAAGCACAATGAAATGAACAAAATTATTGGAGGTAAGAGATATGCAACGGGGTTCTGCAAAATTATAGGCTATGATGGAAATCCTCAGACGTCAGTAAAGTCAGTATATTCTCAAGTCATATAGCTAAAAATATAGATGGCATTTGTTTAGAAAGTATTTTGACCGCTCAAAAGGAATATATACTTTTTTTTTTTAAATTTTTTAAAATTTTTGGCTGCGTTGGGTCTTGGTTGCTGCGCGCGGGCTTTCTCTAGTTGAGGCAAGCAGGGTCTGCTCTTCATCGCGGTGCGCGGGCTTCTCATTGCTGTGTCTTCTCGTTGCAGAGCACGGGCTCTAGGGCTTCAGTAGTTGTGGTGCATGGGCTCAGTATTTGTAGCACATGGGCTCAGTAGTTGTGGCTTGCAGGCTCTAGAGCGCAGGCTCAGTAGTTGTGGCACACCGGTTTAGTTGCTCCACGGCATGTGGGATCTTCCCGGACCAGAGCTCAAGCCCGTGTCCCCTGCATTGGCAGGCGGATTCTTAACCACTGCGCCGCCAGGGAAGTCCAGGAGTATATATACTTTCAATGCCTTCCTAATTCCCATGTGAAATCGTACCTTTATTTTAGCCATTCTGTTAATATGTAATGATAATACAGAAGAGGATGATCTACCAAATAAAATAGCTATAAAACATTTTAGTCTGTAGGTCTGTGTGCACAATCCAAAATTATTTACTCACATAAAAGATAACTTCCCACTTCATGAGTTATTAATGTACAATGAAGTAGCCTTTTTCCCCTTTACCACTGTATTATGAACAATACCTAAGCGTAAATGAACAAATAAATTGTTAGAAACAACAGTGTACAATGTTACCTTTGCACATTAGAAAATTCAATTTTTATTTTCTTATAAAGTGTTTGAATTACATATCATAATTTAACATCTTTTAAAGCATCTTTTATTCTTTAAGAATTCTTTTCACATCCATTAACCAATTGAAGCAGCTCATTTATAAAAACATTTTTGTTAACATGAGTCAAACCTAAAAGAAAAGAAAATGACAACTTGAAAGTAACCTTTATCATCCAGATGCTAATCAGTGCGATATTAAATGATAGGGGTAAATCAAAAATGATAGAGGAAAATGAACTTAATCTGGAGAATCCTCTTATTAGCAGCCAGAACAGGGCAGTTCTTAAGCCATTTTAAAACAAACTCTTCATGTTCTCACTTAGCTTGTACTTGATGCTTTACAAGTCCTAGAGATTTCAGTTTGGGTTTGGTTTGGTTTTGCTTTGCTGTGGTAGCATTTACCAATTTCTTTTCTTTATTTCTGCCTAATCTTTGAATGCCATATTATATGGAGATATTTCTCCTAAAATGTCAGCAGAGCCGGGGAGATGACAGTAGGTGGGGACTTGGGGTGGCCTGTTTGGGCATCCTGTGAAGGAGGCGGGCAGCTCCTCCCTGCGTCGTAAGGTGCAGGCCTATAGAGGGGCTTGAAAACAGAAGCAGGTGACTGTGGGGTTGCCAAGGAAAGGGAGCAAAAGCAGAGGGTATCCTGGGTTAACACCAGGACAAGGTGCTTTTTATACTTGGCAGTGGAGCTCTTTTATAAAATCCAGTGAAGTACCAGTTAGGAAGATGTATCAACAATTTATCTTAAAAAGGAAAAAAAAAAGCCATCAATTCCATTGCCTTATTAATATAATCAGAACCTCTTTCCATTATAAACCTTTAGATAAAACATGACAACAATAATGGAAAAATCATCTAAAACAGATATAATTGTACACGAAGTTTGTTGGCATTTTGAACAACTTCAATTTTTAAGTGTTTTACATTCTTTGTAGAGAAAGGTAAGCACAATTCTTGTATTTAATCTAAAATAAAGACAGAAATCACAGCAGGCACTTAAGTCATGTGCATCACACAGTTATTCACACATAATCCTTCAGGCTGTATGCTGAACGGTCCTCTGGCTGTGTGGTGGGGACGTGCTGCTGCTTGGATGGGTGGAGCCAAGCCTCCGAATCCTTTTTTATACAGAAAATCATGCCAGAGATAAACAGCAGCATGGCCGAAATGAATCCAATGTAGACAGCTCCTCCGGGTTCATGTTTGTTGCTTTCTGGAACTGTCACATCCACAAAGTTGGCTATGATCTCCTTTGTGTACCACACCGTCGGTATTAAACCAGAGATCCCCGCAGACATGAGGCAGACTCCCCCAGCAAAACAAGCGTAACTCTTGGTTTCCCTGTCCCCTCCTAAGCGAGTGCATTTCATCCCGATTGTGGCAGTGCACATCCCCACAGCAGACAGGACACAGGCCAGGACCATGGCGGCCCGAGCGGCCTGCACGTGGGTGGGGAGGGCCAGGACGGAGTACTTCAGGGTGCAGCTGAACATCCCGGTGCTATACCACGTGCAGTCCATCCACAGCCCTTGCAGCTGCACGATGGCTGTGATGATGTTGGAGCCCGGGTCCACATTCACCTTCCAGTTGGGCAGCAGGGTGGCCATGAGCACTCCAGAGACCCCAGATAAGGCCAGGGCAAAAGCAAGGAGCTGGAGACCCGCCGAGATCATAACGTCACCGTTACCTTTGTCCTCCTAGAAAATCCTGATGGCTCTCGCTCAGAATTGTAGCTATTTCTGTACAGTAGAGAACCAGGTAACAAAAGGCTGGGGAAAGAAGACAAAATCAGGGTTGAAAGAAAGAAAAAAACAAAAAGACTTCTGTGTACAGTGGGAGCTGAGAGCCCATCTGAATAGGTCCCAGCAGTGGATGAGGACACTGCTTCCCAGGAGAAAAGCTCACACCAGGCCCACAGAGGCTGCCATTGTCCTGAGTGATTTTGGCTGGGTGGTGCTTGATACGTGGCATAAAGGAGAGGGCTGTCCACTTCGTTCTTTAAAATTTAAGCTCTGCTGAAGTTGTCTGTGTGCCTTGTTAGGAGATTCAGACGTGGAACGCCAGCTGTACGATATCTGATATAGAATTTTAATAGTATTTACAGGTTTTAAAAACTTATTTCTAGTTAAAATACTCTATAGGTGATAAGGAAGGTAATTACTTATACTCTATTACTTATACTCTAATTACTTATTACTCTATAGGTAATAAGGAAGAATAGTTTAAACCCACCTGTTAAAAAGGATTTATAAATATATATTAGAAAATTCAAAAAATGCATTCAAAAAATGATTTTATTTTTAAAAATGTATCAAACACTCTCCATGTGTCATTCACATGGCCCAGGTGAATTGTTTAAGAAGGAGAAGAAAGTAGTAAAAGAAATCAAAGTCACTGGCATGATTATCTCTAATTTCCAGCTTGCAAAATCCTTACCTAAGTGAGCAGTTGTTTCCCTTCAGGTACAGCTTACTCAAAACTGAAACAATTAAGCCACTGTCTTTTGCTTAGGAGAATGTGAGATCCTTTCTAGTTGGGAATAGAATCGTTCCCTGACCCAAATGAAGTAGTCTGCTGCAAAACCGGTTATTCAAAACGATTCAGAAGTAGTGACATTGAATCTTGCAAATACATACCAGAAGTAACCACATCATTATTTGTATGAGAGAGATTCAAAAATAATTTACACTTTTTTCCTCCCTCCCTTCCTTCCTTCCGTTTAGTAAGAGGGAATAGATAGTACTTCCTTTGTGACGTGCTATGTTTTAATCAGGCAGTACTTACTGCCTTCTTTGAGGAAAATACAATGGTTTCTGAAATACAGCAATATTGACCTTTTTGTGTTTCTGAATTTTTGAGTGATGTATTAGAATGGCTCTATCATGATTCATATATTTGTCACAAAAGGCAGTATGAGCTCTGAATCTAAAGCACTTTGGTCAAATCTTGGCTTTCCAGAACCTCTCTGTGCCTCAGTATTCTCTTCTGGAAAGCAGGGAGGATTATTCTATTTATATCATGGAGTTTCATATACATGAAAGAATTTTAAAGGGTGTAGAACAATATCTAACCCATAGAAAGTACTCAGTAAATTACAATTGACATTGTTATTAGTATTTCTAAAATTTATATTATGTCACGTGACACTTGATATTTAATGACATCTGGATTTTTTTTTTTTTCTCCCTTAGGCCGATTTCATTTGTTTTCATAGGAACTTAGAGATGAAGGAAACCATAGATGTAATCTTGGCCATCAGTGTTGTTTCAGATTAGGACACTTAGGTAGTAGATCGCCCCACGCCACACAGACCTCAGCGGCAAGATCGGCAGTGCCCACTTCCCCACCTCTTCCCACCTCACTGCACCTTGCACCCTTGTCCCCCTTTACCACAGCAATTCCGGGTGAAATCCTCCTGTGTACTTCCTGTTGGAAGCAGGGAGAATGCTACATCTAGAGACAAAGCACCATTAACCATCCCCTCACTCACTCCCTTTCTCACACAGAAAAAAAGACTCCAGAGGGAATTAATAGAGCAAATGAGCAAGTGGCGTAGCTTCAGAGACTCACCAGGGAGGTTGATGCCTGGCTTTTGTGAAATATCTGCAGTGATGTGAATCCACGCCTGTGTTACTTTTAATACAGTTGTATAGTTAATACAGTTATAACATTGATTCCCTAAGAGCTTAAATCCTGGGCTGTCTGAATTCCATTGTTCTATTTTTGTTCATAATCTTAAAATGTAAATTCTGTAGTTTCAGGAGATTTCCCTGAGATTTTGAATTCTTAGAGTCAGTTTCACTCTGAGCATCAAAGTGCCTTGGCTTTGCCTGTCATCCTACAGTTCCTTCTTTTTCTGTTTTCCAAATTTCTTTTCATATCTGAGACCAAAATAGAACGAAAGTTAAAGTTTCTAGAAAAAAAAAAAAAGCACATGTTTATAGTTTCATAATAGCTGTTTTCAGGTTTGGGTTTTAACATTTCAGACTCCAGCCAGCTCACTCAATTACTGCCTTCCCGGACCATTTTCGGCTTAAGGGCTTCTTCAAGAGCGAGACTGCTGTTAGCATTCCCTGCGAGCATCTCCTTTCTTTCTTTTTACTTTGGTTGAGTAACCTTTATGTGTTGATCAGTCTCTGCTCAGCTTCCCAATTATAACTCTTTTCTTCCCATTAACCAATACATTTTATAAATTCCAGTGTAATTCAGACTTGGAGACAGCTTGTTCATCTTAATTAACAAGTGCTGGCAGTGATAAATTACAGATGGCCAAACTCGGCGTAAACAATAAGACATTGCATTCGGTTAGCATGGGGCCCACTTACTATTGAATAGTGGACTTTAAGTGCTTTCTTCTGCGTGGAGAACTTATGCAGAAAGAATTTGTTCTCCAAAATGAAGGTCACTCTTTTCCCTTTATAAAAATATACTGGCATCTTAGCTATATTGCTGTGAAATCTTTTTTTTTTTTCCCCCCTCCAGCCACAAGCATGGTACAGTTTGTGGCCTATTCTCTCAGATTTCTGTCTCGTAGAGAATAAAGACATACTTTGTTTCAGCGGTGGTGGTGATGGTGATGAAATGCTGTGAGAGTAAGCATGGAAAACAGTTCTAAATGAGAGCTCTCGTGGTTCTAAAATCTGTTGCATATACAACAGAACCTATAATGTTAAATTCATGAGCTATTTCCCAAAGAAATTCTGAACTGGATTTCGTTAAAATGTAAAGTCAGTTTTCCAGACAAGATTTATTTATATCAAATCTAGTATTTAAAAACAGATTTACAATGTACAGTTCAAACCGAGTTATACTTGAAGATCTATATTTAGGTCCCGAAGTATTGTGGAAGCTTCTCGTTTTCCATACCTTTTGTCAGTAGCCTTCAGTGACTTAACTCTCTTCTGTCAGTTGTCTTCAGTTGAACCCCAGTAAGACATGATGAAGAGGAGCCACATACCTGAGGCTCAGTTCACAGCTTCTGAATATTAGTGATGAAGCTCCAATAGGTTAACTTGCAAGTAGCAAATGAAGAGCAACGTAGAAATCCGAGCAGGGAAAACTGCTGGTGGTGCCAGGAGATAAATACCGGGTTCCCCATCTCATTTTTTGAGCTGGGGGAAAATTCAGAAAGGAGAGGCAGGGGAGGGAGGGAGCTGTTGTTACAACAGGATTTGTCGAAACCTGAAAGCTGAAAATGCTTCTGTGTCACTATATACAGAGGAGGAATTATCTGGGTGCTCACAAAAAGACTTTCTTTTCTTTTAATATTATGTTTTACTCCATAGTTATAATTTATTTCTGAATTTTTATCTGTGTTGGAGGATACCATTTATTATTTTATGTCCCCGATTAAAGAACATGGTCTGAAATATTTTTCGCTAGACTGCTTTGCAGGTGATAGTTGAGACTATCTGTTTATTCTGGCGCTTCTGACTTGTCTGAAATCAAGATTCACAAAATTGGTAACTTTCAAACTAAACATTCAAAAGACAGTTTTATATATATCTTGATAAAAGTAAAAAGAAAACCCAGCAACAGCTGTTGACTAGAATCTGAGCAGTAAACCTACAAGTATTTTTTTTTTTTTGGCGGGGGCAGGGGGGCGGTATCCTGAATTTTCTTCTATTAATCTTTCCACTGAGAAAGATTTCTAAAGTATAATAGATAGCTAGTGGGAAGCAGCCACGTAGCACAGGGAGATCAGCTCGGTGCTTTGTGACCACCTAGAGGGGTGGGATAGGGAGGCTGGGAGGGAGACGCAAGAGGGAGGAGATATGGGGATACACGTAAGCATATAGCTGATTCACTTTGTTATACAGCAGCAACTAACACACCATTGTAAAGCAATTATACTCCGATAAAGATGTTGAAAACAATTATAACTTAGTAAATTAGAGATTTTAGAAAGCATTGTAAAGAAATTACACCAAAATAATGTGATGAAAAATATTAGATGAACCAAAATCAAACACTGAGGTTCTAGACCATGAATAATGGTACAGACATATTTCATCTTCGTCTACTTTGGGTTCTCATTTTTTTTCTACCTCAGTAATGTTAATTCTACAAGCTGTACATTCATAGCCACTATAGAGAGAAAAAGATAATTTTATGATTGGATGTTTAAAATTTTACAACTGCTAATAGCCATGTTAGATGTTAGCCATTTCTTTAAAAGCAGTGAATAATAAAAATGCATGTTTCATATATATGGAATCTAAGAAAAAAACTGGTTCTGATGAACCTAGGGGCAAGACAGGAATAAAGACACAGACGTAGAGAATGGACTTTAAGGACAAGGGGAGGGGGAAGGGTAAGCTGGGATGAAGGGAGAGAGTAGCATTGACATATATACACTACCAAATGTGAAATAGCTAGTGGGAAGCAGCCGCATAGCACAGGGAGATCCGCTTGGTGCTTTGCGACCACCTGGAGGGAGGGGATATGGGGATATACGTATACATATAGCTGATTCACTTTGTTATACACCAGAAACAAACACAGCACTGTAAAGCAATTATACTCCGATAAAGATGTTAAAAAATATGCATGTTTCAGTTATCTGGATTTTTCTGGATTTTTTTGTTGTTTTTAGTTGGTTTTCATCTTTTCTAAGTCTGGCATTTAGCAAGATACATATTGTTTTCTCCTCTTAGAAATCTAATGCCTGTGGATTTTGTGTTTTTAGCCATAGTGTTGTAATTTTGCTTTATAAACTTACTTATTTAATTTCTTCGAGATATATAAACAGTTCTTTGTCTAAGTACTGAGTGAAGTAGAGTTGAATTTCAGGCACTAACAGCACTGTTACTACTGCTGTAGCAAGAAATCCACCAGGTCCCTTCAGTGCCTTGGCTTGTTTTGCTCCTTGCCGTGGTTGTCGT